CCCCAAAACCCCAAAACCCCAAAACCCCAAAACCCCATTTTATAAAATTTGGATTGTAATTTTGAAGATTTAATCACCTATTCTGTTTTGATGGGACTTTACAGATTTTGCAGACTTTGTCAGTTGCGTACCTGTGTTCGAAGCTCTCCATTTACTCTTGGTCACAATTAAGGGATGCTCAATATCAGTAATAGGTTTATATTGCTGATGTTCTGCAAGATGGTCGTCTGCAACTCCTCTGTTTTCAGTTTTTAAGTTAGAGTAGACATGATGAGTGAAATAAACTGAAATTCATTTGAGTAAAACGTCGACTACATTCAGGATTGAAATAACTCTAGCCGATCCTTCTGTGAGAATATTGTTTTGAACAATCTCAAGCTCACTTATTTTAATAAAGAAGAAAGTTGTATAAGCCATTGAAAGGATAGTAATTGGGATAAGCATCGTGATTACAGCTCCGAGATATTCTTTGCTTGAATACTTAACACCATAGAATCCTACAACTCCAGGGATAAAGGTAAAAATTCCAATGAAGAACATGATTACATATAACCAGTTATCATCATGGGGTCTTTGAGGCTTTGTTCCAGAATACATTCCAGCTCCAAGCATAATAATTCCCATTAGAGATAAGAAATTAAGAAATAATCCAGAGAGGAACCTAATATTTGTAAGTTTGTGAAGGCAAGAAGAAGTAGCAGCTTTATGTTCTTCCTTTTCATCCATCATGTGGATAAGCATCATAAAAACTTCATCAACATTTGAGTGATCGTTTCCAGAGATTTCTGCGTATTCACAATTCATTGTTTCTGCCACCCACTTTTTAGTACCGTTGAAGTTGAATTTTCCTTCGTTATCAACAGCAACAGATTTTGTAAGGTCTACCATATCCTCATAATCATCCGGATCAATTAAGTCTATCTTATTAGCAACTGCAACTCTGGGTCTGAAAAGAGATCCAGCTGCGACTTGGCCATTATAAAAATCTTGAAGCATGAGGTAAGACTCAGGGTTATCAAGTGCAAAGGTATACAGAACCCCATCATACTCATTAAGGTACTGGTCCTCTCCTTCCATAATACACTTGCCTTCATGATTAACAATAGGTTTTTCCTCAAGATAGATAATGTATTGGAGCCTGTTATACTCTAATTCAATCTCATAAGTCCCATCCGACTCTTCAATAAGCTTATCAAAATTGATCTCAGGAGTTTCATCAGAAGTCAAGCTTCCCTGCATGAATTGTTTGATAATAGTTGTCTTTCCAACTTGTGGAGCGCCTACAACTGCTATTCTGAACTTAATCTTTGGCTTTCCAAAGTTGGGATCGTCCCTATTAGTAGTCCTCATTTGGTATTATTTAATTAATATTTGTTAGGGGTTTTGGGGTTTTGGGGTTTTGGGGTTTTGGGG